ACCTCTCGCAATTATGGCAGGGGTGCTGGGGCCAACAAGGAGCCAGAGGCCATTCCACTCAGGGCTAGACGCAGTGGAGTCAATTTTCAATTTCAATCGAATTACTCTCCTGCAAATGAACCTAGTGGTCTCTCCAAAACCACCCAACTCCATCACACGGCGCACAACACGGGTTTTTATCCCCTGCAAATTGACATGGACCCTGAAAACCACTGGGTGGTAGATGAACATTTTTCTTACAAGGGGTCCATTTTCACAGTCCATGGGATCACGTGCAGGGGTAATGACGACCATTAGAGGGTGTTTGACATTTGTTGTCGCGGGAAAAATTTTGGCTTTGTAGCGTCTTCAGATTCGCCAGTCAGCCGGTGTTTTGGAATCTATCCATGTTGGCAGGGCGGCGGCTATGGTGGTGGCAAAGGTGGTAGCAGGCACTGGAGTTGGCGGGGAGTGCACTTACCTCATTATTTGTAAGGATAAGGTGGCAAGCTGTCACTGGTTCCAAAGACCATTCAAAGACGTCGACTGTAGACCTAGCAGCCACGTAGTCTATTTGCTTGTGGCGGCTGGAAACCACTGGGAAAACGAGCTGTTTCGGGGGTATCAGGTCCACAATATCCAACCAAGTGAGGCCAAGGTCACCAACTGAAGCATCAACTTTGACCAACGAAATCTCAAAGCGTTCAGATATATACATATATAGATTAGAAGTTAGACCAACTTTTTGCCTTTTGACAAGATTCATTTAGTTTTTACTTTGTATAAGAATATATAAGACTCCTACAGCCGGCAAGTCACCTGGCTGGATTACACCTTTCGGTCTTCCAGCTGGCCACTTTTTACATCAAAAGCCACGCCGAGAGTCTGGTCTGCTGCGCTCAGGTTGATGATCGATTCATCGGTCCCGGGTCCAGCCTGAAGGTCTAAAAGCATTTCTAACAGATTTCTGCCGGAATTTGATTCATCAATCGTCAATCATCAAGTCAACATCACATCCCATATCTCCCTCCCGTCCAGAAACACCACCGCAGCCCGGTGCACATTGCGCCGGCGATCGAACTGGGGGTCGATTGAAAAGGGCGCTGAAACGAAAAACGGTTCTTTTCGTTGACAAAGCAGATGAGGCCGTCTTGTTGCTTTGCCAGCGATTTCTTTTCTGGTTCGACGATAGATACAATCAGCCATGAACTTGTCCCATCTTGCTACTACATAGGAACATAAGGCTCTTCCTGGTCTGCCTATTAATCTCCGGCCACTATAGCTTCAACTGCTTCACCTGGAGTCCCAGTCCAGAAATATGCATTAATTACACAACAATCAATATACCAGTCTCCGGCCACTTCCGCAACCAAACCGGTTCCGGCTTCCTCGAAGCGGTGGGACCAAGACCTCACCAAACCAGACCTCCAAAACCTCCCCGCCAGCTGGTCCAAAGCAGCTCAGAGGTTGAGGTGGAGACCCAACTCTGAGACACCTCATTTTTCGCTAAGAATCCGCCCGGGGCGCGACCTCCGCCCGGTTCATGTGTCGGACCCCTTCTCTCCTCCTCTCCCTCCCTCTCTCTTCGCAGGACGACCAGGGACCCGAAGCAAAGCCCTTTCCGATGCGAGACCCGACACCGGTTGGATCGTCGGGAGCGGCTTTCGCTGCGGTTTGGAACAGACGGTCAGATCCAACCTAAAGCAAACCAGCACCCGACTCTACAGGTCACCAATTGAAGCCCGTTAGAGCCCAACAAACCTCCATTTCGGAGACCTGTAGAGTCGGGTGCTGGATGTTTGTTTTTCATCAACGCACGACCAGTTCTCGACTCCGGAAAGCGCAGGCTCTGCAGACAATTTCAGTATGGCCGCTGTACATGGGGCGACCCGGCATGGAATGAGTGGAGAAACCACATGGAATGCCCGAAACGTATCGGAGAGAGAGAGAGAGAGAGAGAGGGAGAGGGAGAGCGGTCAGGTTACAGCTGCCATGGTTGCTGTTTCAGTCAGGATATCATGTTGCTGTTCGACCGGAGTCCTTTTCCTGTGGAACGACGACATCTGAATGTGCCAGAAGGTGGGCAACCTGGGGCCACATCCATATTCTCAAAAGCTTATGGATGATAAATACGACCTATACATTGCATTTGGGTTCTAATTTCATTCTCCTTAGAGGAGTGCTTTGACATACTTAATGAGACATGCCACATGACTCGTGAGCCAAGGAGAGAATTGCCGGTTTGTACACGAGAGGGAATGAGCACATGGCTGTGCAGCAGCTGAATATGACCTTGTTATGGCGCGCGGTCAGTGGATGTGGTGAAAAGAAACCGACGGCAGTGCTGCCCAGTCTGGTCGGCCGCATGATTGGAGGGTGGTTGACGTCCTTCCCCAAGACCGCTTCAAAAAGGGTGGGGCGCCACAAAGAAACACCGGGGATCTTCCAGAAAAACGGGCAAAACTGGGTCATGGCACGGGTCATGGCTCTCCTGCGCTGATGGCAGCTCCCCGCTGCCACCGCTGCATCCGCTGCTTCTCTCGGGTGGAGTTCCGCCCCGGCTCATCCGGGGTGGTCGTGCGCCGGGGGCCCGTGCCGGTCGGCGCATGGAACCAGAGATGAAGGCACCTCTACTTCCAGTGACTCGCCGCGCTTTTTAGAAGGGAGGTGGACACCCTCCCGGCAACACACAATGGAAGTGGATGCTACCCCCCTGTTTGTAGAGGACGTGCAGTTTTCATGTTTTTACAGAAGAACACACATGTTCACACATTTGACTGGAGATCATTTGACGACCCGCTCAAACCCACCAGGCCTTTCCCGGTCCGATCCCGGGAAGCCGGTTCCGGACCCCCGAAGGTCCGAGGAGTTCACCGGCCATTCGGCCGGGCTCCGGACGCCTGGGCGGGCTCCAGTCAATGACCAGCCACATCCCACTCTGCGGTTTTAGTGCGGTTTTGCGGCTCGGTAGGCCTGTTTCAAGCGCACGCGTTTTCTCTGGCGCAACCAGACTATCAGTTGCTACCTCAACGTGATCGCAGCATAGTCCAAAGAGAGTTCCAAAGAGGACTATAGAATACTCTTACGAAGTTGAAGCCTTACGAAGCAATATTTCACCATATTTTTGCCATCGTCGAGCTACAAACCAAATTCTTTGTTGACGGTTGGTCGCAAGGCCTTCCCTGATAACTGAAGCGGGCTGTTGAGGATCTAACTTTTTCTGCAATGCACATTTCCCATGATCATAAGAAGGCCTCCAATATGTTGCCACGCCGTGCCAAATCAAGTTTCAATGAGAAGTGCCCTATCAGGTCTTGGATAGAAAGGATATACCCCCCACCCTCCATGATCTAACTACACACAGCTGTTTTCTGTGGGCCTGCCCGGACAAACACTTTTTTTTGAACCAATCAGAAATCAGTCAGTGCTCCTATTTAGATCTATTTAGTTAGTATATAAGTATATGCCGTTTCAGGACTTGAAAAGCTTACAAGAGTATTTGATGTCAACCAATCGTAGCGAACACATCATGGTATCTACCACTGGCTTACCAGAGGTGACGCACTCTCGGTATGTTCGCAGTGTCTGCGGCCCCTTACTATCACCTGCACCACCCAGCGACCTTTTCGCTATGCAGATAACTGGTCCTTCATGACTCCCTCTGGGCCCTTTTTGCAGCTTTTCGCCAAACACAGAACTTACATTCAAATCGTCCGTTTAAAGGTGGCTATGGGGTTCGACCGAGATCATGCGCGTAGGAGATAAGCATTTCCTAGCATTTCAATCATTTGCGGAAAAAAAGAACATAGCGCTACACGTGCAACCATTGCCAACCATCTCAGAGCCTGTCATCTTTTGGCGCTTCAGTTTACCCACCATACAATCAGCTGAAAAAGTTACGGGTTTGCACGGTTTTGTCTACTTTCGGGATTTGTTTGGGCATGTTGAATATGTATTATATTGTTGAATCCTCTGTCAGACAACAATGTCAGGATCTTTAGCATTGTTACCACTTTTTGTGATATTTTAGCATTCGGTTCAGTTAATTTGAAAGGACAGACAACGTACTATTACGAACCAACGACTCTCAATGCAACACATCTTCTCAACATGGATCTTTCGCGTTGGTTGAGCTTCATGCTCATGGGGTGCAGGGACTTCATATCTTCGTATGTACTGTATATATGGTATTCTTGTAAATTCTTTCGTGGCCATTTTCTGACTGATTCCGAACAAATCCGCCCTGGGTCGAATTTTTGAGTACCTTGGTGTTAGCATGTGGAACCGTTCATCTAAGGAGAAGAAGGTGGCCGATGTTCAGTCTGGTACAGGCTGGGTGTCAAAGGGGAGACACGCACCAAATGAGTGACGTCAAGCTGAAGCGACCGGCAGACAGACATGTCTAGAATGGGTACATGCCAATCATAGGACTGCCTCCCGGCCGTTGACCGCCTCGCTCAAAACAGACCGGCTCTTTGATCTCTTTGGAACGGTTGGCCCTTACGCAGCGGAGGTTGGCACGTGCGTCCACGAGTGTAGACAATGCGTACTCCAACGCTGCTTCCGGAGGATGAGCAAAACGCCAAACGCATCCAAACGCGACCGGATCCAAATGCCGGACTGCAGAGCCGACCAAATCAGCACGAAATGTCTATCTCGCTGACAGCGTTACGATCAGGATAGGAACTCTTGATACACCTGTGTCGATGTTCCCACGGGCTCGTGGAATCGCTTTGATTCCCCAACAGTGCGAAGTTCCACTGCTAGGGACCTCATGGGACAATCATGGGACATCAAGGGGACATCATGGCCCATCACCAAAGACTCATTCCCAGACGCTCCACAGGACTGCCATACATATGCCGATCTGGCCAGGGGTTGTTTGGGGGGTCAATGGGGCGGCATATATGGCAGTCCCATGGAGTGTGTGGGATTTGGTGCAGGGCAGAATTCCCATGTGCCAACCTGCGAACTCGTCAGGGACGCCCTTCTCGACAGCCCTCAACCTGGCGGCCACCTCCATGGGCACGGGGCTCCTCACCTTGCCCCATGTCTTCGCTTGCTGTGGCCCCAAGATGGCCTCCGCGCTGCTGCTGGTGCTGGCAGTCACCACGGAGTGGGTCGTTAAATTTTTGGGGAGGGTGAATTCAGAAGCCGATGAGCAAGAGGTAGGAGCAGGGAAGAGGTAGGAATTCTGCATATTTTGGATCAAGGGGAGTCCAGTTTGTTTTGTTGAACGGGGGTTACCTGGTCAAAGTGTATTCGCATCTCGAAAGTCTTTCGTGTTCGCTTTTGAGAGTCAGATCATTCCAACAAACCATGCGGACTCCAACCAACTCGCGTTGGAGTCCGCCCTGGGTCGTTGTGGTGTACCCCCACATCAGGACGTGACCTTGGTCCTTCTGGTGAAGTTGGGCCGCATGCTGGGCGTCACCACCTTCGGCTCGCTCATGTGCCGCATCTTCGGCAAGAGCGGCTCGCTGGCCGCTCGGTTCACCCAGTGCCCCCCGACAACCTAGTAGCTTCTTGTTAGCACTCAACACATGACACCGACCGCTCAAGGGAACGGTTTTCACGGTCTGGTCTGGTCTGTGGGAGATTTCCAAGCTGAGTCTTCCTCAAGAGACGGGCCGACGGGGTGTCAAAGAATCAACGAACTGGAATTGCTTCTGTTTCGCGACACGATGTGCCGGGACAGGAGTGTGTTCTTGTTTGAGGAAGCAGGTGAATCTCTGAAACTCTCCGAAGAATATGGGACCAAGGCATCGAAGACTATTCGAGGTTGAACTTGTTCCAACTAATTTGTAAAGTTTATTTGATTTCCTATGATTTCCTCCTAATCTGCAGGCAGTGATCTTGTAAATGGATGAACAACCCACTCTTCTGCCAATGCTCAAGCTGTTTCAATCGTTCTTGCACAGACAGACCTTTCTATGTATATGCCAGCCGGACAGGCAAGTCCGAGAGGATCGAGTTGGTCTGGAGACCTCCGCGTTCCGACCCCCATGAAAGATGGACACGCCTTTGGTGCAGAGTTTTCGTTCGTTTTCTCTTTGTAAAGGTGTGAAGTACAGGATGTAAAGGACCTCCGTAATTCACAGATCACGATGATTCAGCCAATTCCATGAGAAGTGGTCTTGTTTTGTTTTTTTCACGGGTCTGTCATCAGATAGAATGAAACCATGAAAGAGGCCCAAACCGGCCTGTTCAGATGACTCGTAGTGGGTTCCTGTGAGGGACCTCGTTGTAGCCCAAGAACCATTGGTAAGCATTAAGCAAACAAAAGCAAGTTAACACCCGAACCCACTGGGGTGTCTTTCGTTGGACTTCCAAAAACAATCAAAGACACAGTAGAAAGTAGAAAGATCTATGTCGTCAAACATGAACATCACCTCATGACCAATCATCGAACTCATGACAGGTCCAGCCGGTCCACAGGTCTTTCAGCTCACCCTGATTTCAGTGCTCTTCTTAGCGCTGACGGCCATGCAGCGAGTGGTCCTGGACTTGCTACCCATCTTCGTAGCTTGGTTCTGTCTTGATGAGCGGGGGTGTCTCAGTGGGAAGCACCACCCAGAGACCCTGGACCCTCAGAGGGGGGGAGGTCAACAATCCAGTTTTGCGGGGCCAAGGGCTGTTTGGAGCATTTAAGGTACAGTAAAGAAATCTATACTCTAAGAATCCGGGCCCGAACCAATGGAAAGGGCTGCAAAGAGGTTGGGTCCGACCCAAAAATCGGGCAACACATGGAGTCGCTTTTGGTCCGTGTTGGACTGACTTCCCGTCCACGAGAAGAAGTTCAACAAGCAGTCGCCAGTCCTGTTGCTGGACCTACTAGTAGAACCTTGGTCACGGTCCAAGAAACGAAGTGGAACCTGTTTTCACGTCGATTTTCACAAGGCGGTGTAAGTAAGGCGGTGGAACTCGTCCAAGCAAGCAGTTTGGACAGTTCCTTAAGGTGCGATCTGCACCGGATATATACGTATACCCCTTCTTAGATCCCTTCCGAACTGCAACCCAAAGAGATAGTGCAGGTGTCCTCCCAGCATTTTCGGATGATCTCTGATGGACTGCGGCATGATCAAGTGTTGGACAGCTCGCTGTGCTTCGAAAAGCCTACTGTGACATACTGTGACAGTACTTTCACCGCGCAGCTCGTTGGGATCCGCAGACCTTTGAGTGGAATGATCTATGCTGGATCATTTGGGTCAAGTGCAGGGAAGACATCAATGATCAGTACTACCTTGATCAACTTTCGAACACCCTTCACAATCCACTATCCACTTCCCATAGGAGAGAGAGAGCCTGCTCCACCCAACAGTTCCTTCATCCCGAAGTACGTACTTCCACCAACTCCCCCCCGACCCCAAGAAGCGTCTCGGAACCTCTCGGGCTTCTCCTCCAACTCCATGCTTTGATGGACCATCGCAGTATAAGGTGGAATCCATTTGTGGTTTGATCCCTGGCACCGTGAAGCCCCTGGCGCTCAGCATGTTCGATGCTCGGTCTGGTCGTCTTCGCGGTCTCCGCGGTCTCCGCGTGTACGTGGTACCGCGCAGGACGGTGCGTGCGGGACGAGGGGCGGGGCGTTGGACGTACAAGCGGCCGTGCAGTGAGGGTCGGTGAGGGTCAACCTGGACCCGACTGCTTGGTACCAATGGGTAGAACTATGTACCAATGGGTAGAACTATGTATCCACACATATCCACACTATATATATATATACGTTAAGGGGTGCTGGGGCCTCTTTAAACAGTATGTCTGTTGCTGGGGGGGGGGCAGCCTTGAAACTATTTATGAATCATGTGAAACTATTTATAAATCCCTGTGAAACTATTTGTAAATGTGTTAACCTATTGTCAACGGATGTTTCGGTGATTCACTAGAACAAACAAACCCCTACTCAATGCAACAATTACTCAATTTATTGCTATTCCCACATGACACAAACCACCACAAGCCTCAAACAAGACCGAGAGTACTGCTGCCAACATCACTACCCGCACCGGCAAACCAAACAGGAGCACCACCTCCAGCTCCAACGCCAAGAAACATTTCCACTAGACCACACCTACCTAAGCCACCTCCAATCCCCAATCTGACCACAACCACCATCCTGCCCTTGAGGCTGATGAAGCACTACCATGTTCCCACTTAGGCACCCCAGTCAAAGCAGCATCCAAAGAAACGTCGATCCTCGTCGATCCTGTGATGACTTTTGTTGTGTGCTTGAGCTCTCACCGCTCTCACTCTTTGTGCATTTTGTTTGCTCAGGGACGAGGGATCCAGTTTAGACCAGGCAGTGTTGCTTGGTGAGACTTAGTAGGCTTAGGTGTGCACGCCACCTCATGGCGTATGGCCCTGTGCGCTTTGGCCCTGTTCGCTTGGCCATGGACAGTGACACTGACCTGAAGCTTTGGTCATGTTTGGCATGGCTTTCCACTGCGTTGGGTCAAGCACAGCATAGTTCATAGTTACAAAATTAGTTGTCACTATCGGCACTATCTATAGTAATTATTATATAGATAACAACTATTATAGTACTGCATATGGTTTTTACTATCCTGTTCAAGTGCAGGGACTGACAACGCAATTTACCAGACCAGTGCAAGCCATAGCAAGGGGGCATTGAGGATGCTCCATTGGGTTGTTTGAGGCTGCATCGGTTTCAATACCTCAGCTTCAGTTTATCTGAGGGAATCCGATATGGGTGATGTACGGGGAAGTCTTGATGAACTTCGACCAGCGCCTCTCAACTGGGCCAAGCTCTTTGGTGAAAAGCTGGCGCTTGAGAGGCTGGATGGATCCAAACCTTGGCCTCCTGGCCTGAGCCTGAAGGAGCCTGTTCCTGTTGCGCCACTTTGGTTGCAAAAAGGATAAAGGGCAGAGCAGAGAGATCAATCAGTATCAATCCAGTGTGAGACAGTGTGAGTGTGAGTGTTTGAGTGTTTGACTGTGTAGGCTCAGATTCACTCACCAGCCTGCTTTGGGCAAGAGGGGTTTTGGGCTAGGAGTGAGTTTTTTAAAGCTGGCTTCGTCCAAGGCCAAAACGGTACTGACATGTGCTGACTATGCAAATTGGACTGTACTGTACTGTACTGTACTAATGGCTAGTCAGCTATGGGGTCTGGGGCATGGCACTCATTAGTTTTCGAAGAACTCTTCAACACACAGCCAGCTTGATGGCTCATGACACTCATGACCATGCGATGCCATTTGCCATCCACAACTTGACAAACAAATTACTGTGGCCCTGTGACGCCAATATTGTCTTCCACTCAGGGGACCGCATCAAACACCTGTGGTGGACGTCGTGGAGGGCTGCGCTGGTGCTGGTACTGGTACATACATCCTGACACTTGGCAACACCAATAGGGCCATGGGTCATGGGAAGTAGTCAGAAAAGAAGGAATCAAATATCAAATCAATGACTCAAGAACAATGAGAAAGGCACCCAGTAGACAAAGATATGGGGGAGTCAGAGTCACCAATTAGAGACCACAATGTGAAACATGAGTTGTCCAGGTCTGACCCTGAATCTTTGTGGTAAGGCGTGACATCCAGAAGCAGATGCAAGCGATGGGAGTTGATTTTCGCTTCAAGTCTTCTGCGTTGGAAAACAACTGGTTGAAGCAAAAGTTCATGCATCAGAACTATGACCGCACGCACCGAGTCTCTCCAGCATTTAGACAGTGTTAGTTATGATGCGTTATGAAGGAATGTGCTTTCTCATTGAACACTGCCTCTACGCCAGACCCTGCCTTGCCTTTCACAAACCAATCTGATGTTGACGTAGGTGATTGACACTGTACAGTGACAGCGGAAACATGTTTGTTGACATTGGCCTATGCGTGTACTGAGTCACTCACATCTTCAAAGACATCGCCCATGGAGTGAATGGGGGCTTCTGCGTTTTGAATGAGAAGGAGTGCAGGCTCGATACAGAGTCGGAGGACACTGGGGGGTCTTTTTGGAACCAGTCATTGCCAGTCATCCTATGTGTGCAACTGGTGTGCAATGTGCTGCACGTTGCATTGCCTTGTGCACCACTTCCACTTCCCACCTGAATGTATTTGCCCTTCCCTCTACTAAACTTCCAAAACTAGTCCATGGTCCATCACTCAAGGCGTTCAACATGTTTTTCTCCTGCAGGCTACACCTGTTTGACAAACACCTGATACCAGCACTAGTGCAGGATCTATTCTGTTTTGGGCCGCCTTGCTGTCCCTACAGTGTCTTGAACAACAAGAAGCACCAGGAATACGAGTACAACCCGTTTGAGGAAGCAGGAGCTCAGCCGTTCATCCATGGCTGCCGCCATGTGCGAGACTCGTCTGATCTAAGATTAAGGCTTAAGGGACCCGGGTCTACAGCGTCTAAGTTAAGTCAAATGGTGGTTCACTGTAGTCAGTAGAGTCCAGTCAAATCAAGTAGCTGAAGGCAGAAGCTATATGAGAAAGCCGAAAGCTGGTCCAGAATGACTGCTTGCCATGATGCACTAAAGGGGTGAGTTGGTGAGCCGAACGCATAATATGGGATGGGCCTAGGCCATATTCATATGTCACATATGCTGGCTCTCAGGTGAGAGGCGGCCAAAGGTTGTGCTGCTTGAGGAGGCCAGGAAAATTAGGGCTAGGTGTGGGCTAGGCTATGCATCCCTCCTTTGCCGCTGAATGTTTTGGTAAAGGCCTTGGCCTTGCAGCCCCAAGTCTTCACTTCCATTTTCATTTTCATTATTTGATTGAATGTCAAATGCCTCCACATGCGGAATTATACGCGGCCCCGGCTATGTGGCTGTGATTCGAGTCATGATGAGTTATTGTTTTGATTTGATTGGGATGTGTACGCGAGCGTACAACAAACGGGGACTTACTTGCAATGACTTGTTCCAATCGGTTGGTTTGATGTTCTGGTCACCATTTTGATTGAATACATGAGTTCAGCCAAGTGGGGTTGCTCATGGACTTGGGCAACGTTTGATGGCGGTTGTGTGAACCTCCGCCACGGTGTTTTGCTTGGCTGTGTCTGTTCTTTCTTTTGACCCCGCCCGCCCTCTCCTTTTTTGAAGGGGGGTGCTTATTCGTTGCGACCTTTTAGGTCAGTTTGGGGTGGTTGGTTTCCTCCCTTTACTACCCTTGCACGGCTGGTTTGCTGTGCTGGACCGGGTCGCTTTTCTCCCCACTCCAGGGTTGCGAGAGTTAAAAAGGCGTGCGCAAGGCAATGTTCTGCTAATGTGGGTCTTTCTTCCGGTTGTGTTTGGTGCTTCACCCTTCTTAACAATTGCTAAGCACATCCCTGACTTGATTTATGCCGTAAGTAAGAGTCAGAGTCAACAGAGATTCAGATTCATAGTCGAGTCATGCACATAGAACCCTAGTTCCGGACAGACGTCTACAGACTATTAAAGATTTTAATAGACTCAGGCGACTGGAGAGATTCTAATTGCCAATGGCCAATGGCTCAATAATAAACAGAGGTCAAATGCCTCAACATTAGGCAATGACTCAAGATCAAACATATGATTCAGTGAGTCGAACCAAAGCACTAAACCAAACAAGCCTGTTTCTCTGTCAGGTGCATGGTGTTTACGCCCGCTTCCGCGCCAAGAGCCGACACAAGAACGACTTTTTTCGACCTGTACAAGGCACCTTTGGTTGCACAGGTATGGAGGTTCGATGGGGCTCGAATGCGTTGATCTGTGAAAGCCTCAGTGATCAGCGATACGCAGCTGTTTAAGTTTAAGGTGTGGCAGCCACTTTTCTGAATTTTTCCAGTCAAAACATGTGCAGTAGGGCATCTGCATTGACATTAGCTGGGTGGCGCCTCCCCTGATGTCCATGTAAAATCCAAGTTGGCGATGTCCTGGTCCTGTTGTGAAATGGGTTCCTTCACTAGTAGCAGTACTTTGGACTTTGGTTCCATGTTTTCTCCACTGGGTGGATGGACTGGGTCTTGTGTAGTGATTCAGGTTCAGAATCAGGAGATTAAGTATCCCGAATCCCGATCATTTTCCAACACACGACCACCGTTACCGATATCACCCCAACTCACTTGTGAAGAGGACATGACAAGGTGAGTGTGTTCCATGCCTTATCCTCTTCACAGGGTTGACAGGCAATAGCCGCCATGGTTCATGCCGCTGTCTCAGTTTTACAGTGGCAACTCTGAAACCCAATCACATGATGATTGGTGATGATGTGGACATTGACGTTGATGCTGATGCCCTTGAAGAGGAGCTGAGGGAACTGAAAAGGCGTAAGCAAACTGAAGCCGCCAGATCTGCGTTGGCCTCTGCACGAGCTGTCAAGAAAGTGCAAGATGCAGCAGGGAGTGTAAGAGGTGCCCAGAAGGTTCTGAGTGCTGCTGAAACAATGCAGCGAAGGTTTCTCACTGGAAGGCTGCATCATGCGTTCGCAATTTCTCGGTCATACGAGGCTTCTACTCCAGATCCAAAGAAGAATATACAGAGGGATCGGGCTCGATGTGCCTGGAGCCTT